TAATTACAAGCTGCTTATAGTTATTGGCGAACAGGTAGGTCTCGAAATTTAAAGGAAGGAAGGAAGATCAAGAAGGGGGAAAGTAGATTACTAGACAGCAATTTTGTATTGGCTGGACCTCATTTTTTTTTTTTTAAAAATTGCATTGCCTCAGCAACTGAAAAGTCGTTTTGCCTTATACTATTTGTAGGAATTAATTCCTCGCCTATCCACTGAAGCACACACCATTGTGTATGAAAACACAAATCCAATCCTGGAGTTGCCAAATATGCCTCCTATCAGCTTCTCCCTGCAAAATCCTTTGGTGCATTTGTGTGTGTTTTTTTTTTCCTTTTTAAATAAAAAAAATAAAACAGGTGGTTCAAAAATGTTGTTGAGGCAAAGGAGTCCCAGGTTCTTCAGCCAGCCAAAAAGGCCTAGTTTAGCCATGGCGGCTGTTCTCCCCCGTCCTTTAAAGTCTGGCCCACTATTTTCCTTTATCCGAGCCGATACTTGGCTGCAGAAACTGGGCTCAAGCCAGGTATCTGCATGCCAAATACTTTTCCCCTGCCATCTTTCTCTATCACACACACACACACACACCCTCCCTCCTGTCCCTTGCACGGCCATTGCTCCCTCTCTCCCTGCTGCCAGCTCGGCCGTTGGCATTTCACTCGGCTGCCTCTGCCCGATCTTCCAAACCGAGTCACCCCAGTCAAAACAAGAAGCTACAGCCTTGCCAATCAGCCTGGCGGCATTTCCACATTCCCCCTCTTGCACAGGGCTCCAAAAGAGGAATTTTGAAGCACACTTTTTTGCCGTGCTGCAAAGAGCTGGCTGTCGGTCAGACTCAGACCACCCCATCACGCAAAAGAGGGGAGGTGTGCGTGCCGAAGAAATTTGTCCTTCATTTCATTTGGACGGGGGGGGGGATGATCATTAAAACCCACCGAATGAGGATGATCTTAGAGAAGAATTTCAGGCAGCACCTCCCCAGTTCATGTCACTAAGCAGGCGCGGCCATTTTGTGTGCCCCCCACATGCCAGTCTTTCCCCAATGCGGCCATTTTGTGCCGAGTTAAGGTTCCCAGTGCGGGAAGCAGTCAAATTGAGCCTTGAGGCTTGCAGGAAAAATGAAAACTCTCTGAAAATCTTCCTTCAGATATGTATTGCTCCCACCAATACATATGCATATAGTTTAAAAAAAAAATTATGTGCTTGTTATATCAAGGCTGGGGGGGGGGAATCCATCCCCTGCACACACATACACCCCATTTAATTTTCCCCACAACTTGAAAAAACTCCCCCCCCCCGAAAAAACTTGGCTTTCCACTGATCCTGACATAAATAAGCAAACAAATAAATAAGGCATCCAGTTGAAGTAACCAAAAGCATTTTTAAAGCAATAAATGCATAATATTCTCTGTTTTTCTGCCCCCCCCACCCGGCCCCACATTTTGCAATCCAATCTTTTCGTGTCCACGGCAAGTTGGAAATCAATAATTGTTTTTAAACAGAAACAAGAGGAGGAGGAGAAAAAAAAAGAAAGAAGCGAGATGGGAAGAAAAACGCAAACTTTGCAACAGAATGCACCAGAAAAGAAAAGAACATGCAGTTCACAGGCTGTTTACTTAAGTGGAATTTTGGCTCTTGCAAGCTGGTTTTGTTTTGTTTTTTAAATAAATTCTCTCCAGGCCCCCCAACCTTCCCCGCCTGCTCCTTTTCTCCAATTTCCCCTCTCCACGCAGACTTCCATTCCCCGGCAGCCATTTTGAAGGCAGAAAAGCACAATTATATGTGCCGCCTCTCTTGCTTCAAAAAGTTTATTTTTCCCTCCTTCCCCTCTTGGCAGCCATCTTTTTGAAAAAGTGCCGTGAATTTCTCCAGCTGTCCTGCAGAAAAGTGGAATAGCAGCCAAAGAGAGGAAAGGGTGCCAGGGCAGGGGTGGCAAATCTTCCCTCCTTATTCTTTTTATTTTTAAATTTAGCACGGAGCCACTATCTTTGGCAAAGGAGGAAAGCCCACCTCCCAGAAGTGTCTGAGAAATGAGAGTGAGTTGTCTGAGCTCAAAAGAGAAACTGAAAAGCCTGCAGGAATGGATTAGAGAGGAAAAAAAGGCAAGGAAAACTTCCCTGTAAATGTACTTCAGTGCACACAACAGGCACATTTTTGCTCAGGCTCACAAAGTGGCTTCCTCCTCCTTTCTCCTACTGCTATTTGCAAAAGTTTTTCTCTCTTTTTCCCCCCACAAAGCAACTTTCTCGCCAACTCGATTCTCAGAAAATTGTTCACAATGGAAATCAGCCGTAACACGCAGTCTAGTTTTGGGGTTGGTGCAAAAGAGTATACCGTAAGCCAGGAATTGAAGATTTTCAATTTAAGGATCAGGGTACAAGCTTTGATTAGAGAAAATCTTCTATGGGCAAAAAAATTGACAGGATCACACATTTATTTATTTCTGTTACCCACAAATGAGTAAGAGGCCAGTAACATCATGTGCATTAGGCATGAACCCTCCATTTTGACATATGTATTTTATTAGCACATGTTGCAGGGTAGCTTGAAAGAGTAATGCACACACACACACACACAAAAATACATATATTTACCCTTCATTCTTCTGTATCACTTTCATGCCATACTATACAGCGCAGCTGCACGGAAGGAAACATACATTTACTAAACATTTTATCTTCATCTTTTCTGTTATATTGATTTCATTGTAATTCCTTTGTTTGATGGTTGTGAGTTGTCCTGAGTCACTGAGAGAAGAGTGACATATAAGTTTAATAAAATATTGTTTTTAGTATTACCTCCTGCACCCCAAACGGGAGTGTTTCACTCTGGGGGTGGCTATTAGATTAAGAGAAGACCCACCCACCCCCACTTCTTCCAATGTGCATCTTACTCTCTTCCTCCCCATCTTTTAATTATAAATTATTACGGTTCATTGCATGCTATTATTATTGTTATTTATTGTGTAATGTTTTACTGGCTTTTCATTTATAAGGGCAGCATACAAATCTAATAAATGAATGAATGAATAAATAAAAATGTGTAAAATGAATTAATCTGAACATGCCTGTGAGAAAGGGACATTAAGGAGACAAGGTAAAGGAACTAAAAAGGTTCTGGTTTGAACTACAGATTCAAAATTGGAATAAAAGGAGACAGAAGAAAGTAAAATCATTCTGTCTCCCCCCCACCATCCCCCCAATCAATTATACAGGAGTAGCAAGACAAACTATCTAGAAGGCCTGTAAAAATAATTTTCGGCACAGTGCCTGGGATTAATGCTACCTTTGCAAATTATGATTGCCAGATAGATCCTGGGGAATTAAAGTGTAGGCGGCTGGTAAGTTCCTGATAAACCTTCTTGATCATATATTATAAAAGCCAAGGGCAGGTGAGAGATAGATCGAGATATATTAAAATATTATTTTCATTATATCTGCAGGATCAGTGCTTCTAATGATTGACAGTCACATTTTTGTTTCTGACATAAGAATTAATCTAAATAGATTTCCTGGGCTGT